GTGGAGGGACGACGGGGTGAGCGGGTTGTGGGAGGGATGAGTGGGGTGAGCGGGACGTGGGAGGGACAACAGGGTGAGCGGGATGTGGGAGGGACAACGGGGTGAGCGGGAATGTGGGAGGGACGACGGGGTGAGCGGGATGTGGGAGGGACGACGGGGGTGAGTGGGGACTTCAGAGGGGATGAAGGGGCAAGCGGGGATGTGGGAGGGGATGACGGGGCGAGCGGGTTGTGGGAGGGATGACGGGGCGAGCGGGGACGTGGGAGGGGATGACAGGAGGCGAGCGGGGTCGTGGGAGGGATGACGGGGTGAGCGGGGACATGGGAGGGGATGATGGGGGCAAGCAGGGTTGTGGGAGGGGGTGACGTTGGCGAGCGGGGTTGTGGGGAGGGGATGACGGGGTGAGCGGGGACGTGGGAGGGGATGACAGGGGCGAGCGGGGTCGTGGGGAGGGGATGACGGGGGCAAGCGGGGACGTGGGAGGGGATGATGGGGCGAGCAGGGTCGTGGGAGGGGATGACGGGGGCGAGCGGGGTTGTGGGGAGGGGATGATGGGGGCGAGCAGGGTTGTGGGGAGGGGATGAGGGGATTGAGCAGGGATGTGGGGAGGGGATGAGCGGGGCTGTGTGCCAACCCCTAGTATGGATGCATGAGGTCAGCACAAAGACAGGTATTAAGCAAGTTACCAAATTACACCCCACTTTGTGCCAGTGCAGGACGTCTATATTAGAGGTTTGGACCAGGGACTACATCGATGAAGTTGCAAAAGGGCAAATTCCCTTAACAGGGACCAGGCCTCGAGTTCAGGAATTTACCTGATGAGGTAGGGCAGTGTTATCCGTAGCAGGGTCAGAGCCCAGATTTCCCTGCCAGGGAAAATTCCAAAATTAAAAAAGGAATTGTTCCACATCAGAACAATATCTCGAAATGTCAGTTTCCCACGGACTGAGATTTTCAATGCTGCTTAGAAAAAATCAAAACAAGGTTATGTTCCAACCTTTTCAAAATATTTCCCCGGCTCCCGGCTCCCATCCTAAAAGCCCCAAGAATCCCAACTTAAGCAGAGACTTCCAGGGTCCCAGCTCCACAGTTGCCCCCTAGTCAGGGGGCTGGGAAGATGAGAGAGCTGACAGGAAACCAGGCCGGCTTCCCTCAGAAACCTGCCTCCATTCCCACTGAAATTTCATCAACATCGCCACATTCCTGTGAAACGTTTAGATTTCGATGAATCCAAAGGAAAAGCATTCTGAGCAGCTCTAGGGCCATTGCCCCATGGGGAACAAGGCACAGAATGTAACAAGGCTGGTAGAGCGAGGATTAGAGCCCAGGTCTCCTGATGCTTAGTCCAGCACTTTTAGCGCCAACCCATTCTCCAGAAAGAAGGGACTTTCCCCGCTGCTCCCCAGTAGCTCTAGAGCACCAGTAACCGCAGGACCCAGCCTCTCCGTGGATTCCCTCCCGTTCTCAGATGAGGTGATGACTGATGCGAAGTCTGCTGGTCCATTCTGGTACTCTGACCATGCGAGCTGGACTTGTGCGGGACTCAAATCCCAACCACGGTCCCTGTTCAGTGCCGCTCTTGGCCTACTACAGTCACAACGTCCATGAGTGTCATCCCTGATTGCTCCCTGCGGCTGTCGGCAGCTCCTGCAGCGCGTACGGGGAGTGACATGCTAGTGATGGGCGCGCTCCTGTCAGGGATGACGGTTAGTGCCAGTTGTGAGAAACAAGGGCCTGTAAAACGGAGCCTGGCCTAAGCATGGAGGCACCTTCAGGGCCGCTGTGCCCCCAACTCCATCCACCTACCGGGAAAGTGATTATATGTTAAACTAGGTCACCACGGCTGGGGAAACAGTTCCTAGACCACCCGGCCTCCTGGGAGTGACCCCCCACCCCCACGAGGAATGACACTGCCATGACAGAGCTGTCTGGCCTGCACTCCCCTCAGACAGGCACCTCGAGCCATGGAGCCATTTCCAGCATGTCTCCTTCCTGCTCACATTACAGTTTGAAGGGGAAATCCGCGCTCTGACCCGAATGATGGTCGATCCCAACGTGGCTGAGAAGAAAGGGGGAGGGAAGAATCTGCCGCTTAAACGAGGAGAGATTCTGGACGTCATTCAGTTAACGAGTCCCGAGAGAATACTCTGCCGGAACAACCAGTGGAAGTGTAAGTCTGAGGCGCTCCGGTGACCGGTGTAATGCCATGCTTCTCGGGCGGGTCGCTCTAAAAAGCCGGCACTGCTAGCACCTGAACTAACACCCCCAGCTCTGTTAGCCATGGCTGTAGGAGGTGCATCAACCTCTCCCTGTGACCCAGCCACCACTGGAGGGAGACAGCACCACACCGAGCGGGGGTGGTTATGTGGCTGTGGTATACGTGCCAGCTAGGCAGATATAGAGATGAGCTATGAATGGCTCTTTCGGCAGCTCCTGGCAGTAAAACACCTGGCTTCATCCCTGCATTTTGAACTGAAGGAAAATCTACGCCCCGAGACTGTGAAATCTGCCACTGGGTGGAACAGAGCCAACTTTTATCCTAGATCTCAAACATTTCCAAGTTTAGGGGCCAAAAAGCTCAGCTCAGTGTCCTGCCTTTCCTTCCCCACAGCCCCAGCATTTGCTGAAAACCAGCTGGAGGCCTTGGCTGCACACAGTCTGGCATCTCTCCTGGGCCAGCTGCAGCCTGCACATCGTAGGAGCTCCAGGGCTTCCTGGTGGGATGTGTGTTTGCCCGAGTGAGGGGGAGGGCAGCTTCCATCTCATTCCCGGCACAGCCAAGAGCCGGAGCCCAACCAAGTGCGACGTCCGTGCTGTGCACAACGTGTCTTTAAGAGGGGGGCTGCTGGTGGGCTGGAGATCTTGGGAATGGAGAGATGGAGCCTGGGGAAAGGAAAAGGGAAAGGGATGAGTGGGTTGGAGGAGGATGGGAAAGGGATGCTCAGGAGGGTTTGAATCCTGGGGGCGTCTCCGAAACTCCAGCCTATTGGAGTTCTCGTTGCCCCTGGCCACAAGACTCGCAATAGCCCTATTTCCACTCATGCACATTCTGATGAAATGGGCCTTGGAGCCACCAGATGTCAGGGCCCTGCCACACACTGGACCTTCTTCTCGGTCCCGTGGCTACCCCCAGCCGAGGCAGACTCTTCCCTGCCCTTCAGTGCGGGGTCGTGGGGTGTCCCTTCCTAGACTGTCAGACTTTGCTAGGGAGAGTCCAGCCAACAGGGCACGCTGAGTGGGGCTTCCCTAGATCAAACATTTGTCTCTCACTTTGCTGCCCCCTTTGGCCACTGCCAGAGGCCACACTGGCTGCTCAACAGGGGATCCAGCTTAGCTTCTCCAGGCCAGTCCTGGTTTTGGTTCCTCTCCTTCCTTGCACACCCAGATCACTTACACCAACCCCATACAGCCCACGTCTGTGCATCCATGTCCTGCACTGCTAGGCTGCCCACTCTGAGAGTGGACATTCTGCTGGGATTGTGGCCCTAGGGGTCTGCTTGCCTGATTCCTTCGCTGCCTGGGTGAGAATTTATATTTCCATTAAATGTGTCCGTTCTCCTGTCTGTTCCAGATGGCTACGTCCCCAGGGTGGCGCTGCTGCAGCTGTGAGTACAGATACCTTTCCCTCTTGTTTTCTCTTGGTTAGAAATTTTTTTCAAGCTCTAAAGATTAACCAGAATAGCTGACAATGGACAATAGTTAAATAGATGTTAAAAGGAACAGTCAGGAGAGTGAAATGCCGGGAAGCTGCATGAAATGTTTTAAAAATCCCATAATAGAAGCTCAAACTAAATGTATACCCCAAATAAAAAACAACAAAAAAACAGTAACAGGACCAAAAAACATCACCATGGCTAAACGACAGAGTAAAACAGGCAGTTAGAGGCAAAAAGGCATCCTTTAAAAATTGGAAGTCAAATCCTAGTGAGGAAAATAAAAAGGAACGTAAACTCTGGCATGTCAAGTGTAAAAGTATAATCAGGGAGGACAGAAAATAATTTTAAAAGCAACTACAAAAAGACACAAAAACTAACAGCAAAACTATTTTTAAGTACATCAGAATCAGGAAGTCTGCCACACAATCAGTGGGGCCACTGGACAATCAAGGTGCTAAAGGAACATTCAGGGAAGACAAGGCTGTTGCAGAGAAGCGAAATGAATTCTTTGCATCAGTCTTCACTGCAGAGGATGTGAGAGAAAGTCCCAACCTGAGCCATTCCTTCTAGATAACAAATCTGAGGAACTGTCCCAGATTTACCTGTCAATAGAGGAGATTTTGGAACAAACTGATAAACAGTAATAAGTCATCAAAACCAGATGGTATTCACCCAAGAGTTCTGAAGAAACTCAAATGTGAAATTGTAGAACTACTAGGGTGACCAGACAGCCAGGGCCGGCTCTAGCGTTTTTGCTGCCACAAGCAGAAAAAAAAAAAAGCCGTGATCACAAGCAGCGGCAGCTCTACCGCCGCTTCATTCTACAGCAGCAATTCAGCGGCAGGTCCTTCGGAGTGACAGCCCCGCCGCTGAACGGCTGGACGTGCCACCCCCCTCTTCATTGGCCGCCCCAGGCACATGCTTGCTAGGCTGGTGCCTGGAGCCGGCCCTGCAGACAGCAAGTGTGAAAAATTGGGAAAGGGTGTTGGGGATAATAGGACCCTATATAAGAAAAAGATCCAAAAATTGGGACTGTCCCTATAAAATCGGGACATCTGGTCACCCTACGAACTACTAACTGTGGTATGTAACCTATCATTTAAATCAGCCTCTGGACCAGATGACTGGAGGATAAACAATGCAATGCTGATTTTTTAAAAAGGCTCCAGAGGCGATCCTGGCAATTACAGGCCGGTAAGCCTAACTTCAGTACCAGGCAAATTTGTTGAAACTATAGTAAAACACAGAATTATCAGACGCATAGATGAACATGATTTGTTGGGAAATAGTGAACATGGTTTTTGTAAAGGGAAATCATGCCTCACCAATCTACTGGAATTCTTTGAGGCAGTCAACAAGCATGTGGACAAGGGGGATCCAGTGGATATAGCATATTTAGATTTTCAGAAAGCCTTTGACAAGGTCCCTCACCAAAGGCTCTTAAGCAAAGTAAGCTGTCATGGGATAAGAGGGAAGGTTCTCTCATGGATTGGTAACTGGCTAAACGATAGGAAACAAAGGGTAGGAATAAATGGTCAGTTTTCAGAATGGAGAGAAGTAAATAGTGGTGTCCCCCAGGGATTTGTACTGGGCCCAGTCCTATTCAACATACTCATAAATGACCTGGAAAAAGGGGTAAACAGTGAGGTGGCAAAATTTGCAGATGATACAAAACTACTCAACATAGTGAAGTCCAAAGCAGACTGCAAAGAGTTACAAAGGGATCTCACAAAAACGGGGTGACTGGGCAAAAAAATGGCAGATGAAATTCATTGTTGATAAATGCAAAGTAATGCAAATTGGAAAACATAATACCAGCTACACATATAAAACGATGGGGTCTCAATTAGCTGTTACCACTCAAGAAAGAGATCTTGAAGTCGTGGATAGTTCTCTGAAATCATCCACTCAATGTGCAGCAGCAGTCAAAAAAGTGAACAGAATGTTGGGAATCACTAGGAAAGGGATAGATAAGAGAAAATATCTTATTGCCTCTATATAAATCCATGGTTCGCCCACATCTTGAATATGGCATGCAGATGTGATCGCCCCATCTCAAAAAAGATATATTGAAATTGGAAAAGGTTCAGAAAAGGGCAACAGAAATTATTAGGGGTATAGAACAGCTTCCATACGAGGAGAGATTTAAAAGACTGGGACTGTTCAGCTTGGAAAAGAGATGACTAAGGGGGAATATGATTGAGGTCTATAAAATCATGACAGGTGTGGAGAAAGTGAATAAGGAAATGTTGTTTACTCTTTTTCATAATACAAGAACCAGGGGTCAGCCAATGAAGAACCAGGGGTCCCCCAAAGAAATTAAGAGGCAGCAGGTTTAAAACAAACTCAGGGAAGTACTTCTTCACACAACACGGTGGAACTCATTGCTATAGGATGTTGTGAAGGCCCAAACTATAACAGGGTTCAAAAAAGAATTAGATAAGTTCCTGGAGGACAGGTCCATCAGTGGCTATTAGCCAAGATGGTCAGCGATGTAACCCCAGGCTCTGGGTGTCCCTAAAACTCTGATTGCCAAAAGCTGGGACTGGATGACAGGAGATGGATCACTTAATAATTGCCCTGTTCTGTTCATTCCCTCTGGAGTATCTGACTCTGGCCACTGTTGGAAGACAGGATACTGGACTAGATGGACCATTGGTCTGACTTACTATGGCCATTCTTATGTTCTTACGACCTTGATATATTAGGCATCACTGAAACATAGTGGAATGACACAGCTCACTGGGACTACCCCAGGAGAACAGGTCAGGTTGTGGAGATGGGAGAGTAGTACGTTGCCACAAAGAAATCATCTGAAAAACCCTTTAATCTGCATTAGTCTAAGGATGTCCAGGGTAGACTATCCTGCACCGGGCCTTTTCAGGTAACAAAGTTGAGATGCTGTCAGGTATTTAAGGTGTCACAAGGGAACATACTGGATCAAACTGATATATTGGAGATGAGCAAATCCCCACGACGGGTTGGTCTGTCCATGAGTTCTGGACACTGCCCAGCTCTGTCCAGTGACCTGAATGGTCTGACACTGATGGCAACACACAGAGAGTAGCCCACATCAGCCCATTCACTCAGCAACCTGTAAGGGACCCTCCCTGTCACGCAGCAGACTGGGGGGGTTCTACAGTCCCTAGGGTTATATGGGCAGAGCCTGGAAGGCACCAAGGCGCAGATCTCAAAGGTATTTAGGCACTTACTCCCTCACTGAAATTTTTGAGGATTTGTGCCCAATATCTTTAGCCTATCAGCTCCTCCTGTGACTTTTGTGAGCATGCTTAGCCCACCTGTCATTCTCCAGCCTGGAGGATTCCTTCTGTGAGTGAGAAAAATGGATAAAGGAGACTTTTAGATGATGTAATTTTGACGTAATTTATTTGGACATTCAAAAAGCCTCTGACAAAGTCTCACCAATGAGGCTACAAAAGAAGGAAAGGGAATGGAAGGGAAGGGAAAGGAAATAGTTGTGGTCTGAGAGGTGATGTATTGTCATGGATCAGAAGCTGTCTGAGACAAAAACAAAGCGGAGGAATCAGTGGTCAGTTTTCAGCACAGGAAAGGTTCAACAGGGGGACGTCCCAAATCCCTGTAATAGGACCAGTGGTATTTCATAGCCTTAGTAGTGGTCTTGAAAAGAGGGTGAATGCCCTTTATAGGTGACACAACATGATGTAGGTTACTCAAGACTAGAGAAGAATGTGAGGAGCTTTAGAGGGAGCTAACAAAAATAGGTGAATGGGTAGCACAATGGCAGATTGAATTCGCCATTGACAAAAGCACCGTAGTGGATATTGGAGGGGATGATTAAATGACTCATACACATTCATCATCAATCACACGTAGTCCACCAAGGACCATCGCGCCAGCCAAAGTGACCCCAGATGGTGGTGTTGCTCTTGGCATCTTGTAGTGAAGTTCCCAGATGTGGTTCAATCCTGTGAATCCATGAATCTATGGGGTGGCCCGGCACCAGGTAGGGTCAGAGCGCGCACCCCTTTGCGTGTCAATGCAGAGTTTGAGAACTCAGGGTGCAGGGATATTTCTGTCCATCCTGGCCACACAGCTGAAGAACCTGCAACACCGCTGTTGAATATAATGAGCAGTTGAAGGAAGGCCAAGTCTTTGCGAGACTGTGACATTATGCACAGTCAAACCACTTGATGCTCAGGATTTGGTACTGACAGTGCATATGGCCTGCCTCTAGCTGTTCCAAATCTGCCTATAAGAGGGTCCAGGTCTCTGACCCCCATAGCAATACAGGTGGTACACAGGTCTGCTAGATCCTACAGATTGCTAGGTTCTAACACAATATTAGCGTGCATAAGGAATGTGACTGAAGATAATGCTGAAAATGCTATAATGCCAGTATATATAAAAAGGGGAAGGCTCTGAGTTACTACCGTGATTTCTTTCCATGTGTCTGGCTGGTAAGTCTTCCCGACATGTTGAGGATCTAACTGATCACCATATTTGGGGTCAGCAGGGAATTCCCCCCCCCCCCAGTCAAATTGGCAGAGACCCTGTGGTTTTTTGCCTTCCTTGGCAGCATGGGGCACGGGTCACTTGCTGATTTAAACTAGTGTAAATGGTGGATTCTCTGTAACTTGAAGTCTTTAAATCATGATTTGAGGATGTCAGTAACTCAGCCAGAGGTTCTGGGTCCATTGCAGGAGAGGCTGGGTGAAGTTCTGTGGCTTGTGATGTGCAGGAGGTCAGACTAGATGATCACAATGGTACTTAGGGAGGTTCGGAGACAGGCCACAAAACTGATTTCAAGGCCTGGAAACCTCTCCTGTGAAACAAGATTGAAAATATAGTGACAGTTAAATCCAGACAGGAGACAAATCAGAAGGGACATGAGAGAGGAACAGAAAATAACAAATGGCTTAGAGAAAGTCAGACATCCATTCCTATTTGCCCTTTCTTATAATGCAAGACATTGGGAAATGATAAAAGGAAATACATGATACAAAATTAACCCATGGAACTAGCTGCCACTAGATATCACTGAGACCAAGAGCCCTGGAGGATTCACAAAAGGACCGGACCTTTACTGTGGATAATGAGAACACCCATTGTTACATTGGAAATATATACCCCCCTGTGTCAGGGCATACACCAGCCTTGAATGGATGGAGCTTAGGAAGAAAATTCCACTATGGGATGATTATTTCATAATTGTTTACTGCGATGGCGTTTCCTCGCACCTTCTTCTGAAGCATTGGGTGCTGGCCACAGTGGTGCTGGAACAATTTTTATCGTGGGGGTGCTGAAGGCAGAAACCATGTATTTGGGTTGTTATTACTACTATATGCCATCACCCCTAGTTCCAGCACCTATGGCTGGCCACAGTCAGAGACAGGGTACTGGGCTAGAAGGACCTTGGGTCTGATCTGGTCTTGCTATTCCCATGTTCCTATGCTCTGTATTTAAAGCTTTTTAAACTTGTGGACTATGCCCATGTGACTATGCCTCTGCCTATCCATGGCTTCCCAGAGACACATGAGCGAAGCAAAACAGCTGTTCAAAGGCTGTAAATCTCACAGTACCTTGTTCTTTTCTATCATAGGGACACTGACATTTACGATGACGTTGCCTTTTGTGGTAGGTATCCAAATTAACCCCACTTCCCTTCCCCCACCCCAGATTCAGAGGTGACTATAGGGCTAAGTGCTTGTAATCTACAGTGAGACAAGTAGCCTAGCTCACTGGAGATATTTGAGTCTAGACATGACACCTCCCATCATGGCTAATGGCATTAATTTCACCCCTTGCGGTGCAGAGACTGCTCTGTGGAGGGTCCTGCCAGACCTGCCCATGCTGGGCCACCAAATATGTGTACTATTTGCTTATTCATAGTAGATAGGAATTTGAGTATATTAGATTGCCCAGTCTCCAGGAGCCAGACAGCAGGCTCACCCTTGCCCTCTCCAGGATCCCACTCCCCTTCTCCTTTCTTTTGGGTTTCCTTCTCCCCAGTCTCTCTTCCCCGAGAGACCCCATCTCTCTCTCTCCTCCCCAGAGGTTTCTGAGCTCCCGGAAGGTTTGACCTACTTTGTTTCCCTTCTCATCTAGCTTCCCCCCACTGTTTCTTCAGCTCACCTCCCTTGAATCCACCACGAACCACATGAGAACGGATGTTACTGGTTGGGCTGGCTGAGGCATTTGCGTACCTACACGGATGTACAGCAGATCTTTAGTTATTAGCTCTCTAATGAATACATATTTTCTCTGCTTATCTTCCTCAGATGAAATTAATTCTTCCACCAACGTCAGCAAGTGATCTCACCAGCAGAGGGGGGGGCTGTGAGGACAGAAACATGAAAAACATTAAATGCAAGTTTCCTTCTTCAAATTGGGAGTTGCCTTCTCCACAGTTAGTGCTCCAAAGGCAACGTGTCCCTTGTAACATGGTAGCGTGGTTAATTTTAAGATGTTGGGCCTCTGGAAGGATTTTTCCCCGCATTCAGCAAAACTACTCAAAAGTAGGACAGGAACCACAATAGTGTTCAGAGAAACAGGTTACAAGTGAGCTGCAAATAAACAATCTGCCATGTTTCTTGTTTTTGTCTGTGTAAAGAATGGTGATGACCTGAGAGTTTGGGTTTTTTTTAATTTTGCTGGTTGTTTAGCTTAGAAATCCAGGTCTCGTCTGTCTTGTTTTTCCTGAGAAGATTCTGATATCTCTGCTTCCGAGTATGTGAAGCCTCAGCAACTGAGGAGGGATGGAGAGTTCAGTAACACTGAGTTACACAGGTGTAAATACAACACCACAGTTGGGAGGAAGGATATCTTTGTTAATGATGCAAAGCCCCATCCCTTGAACTGAGATCTGAGAAGGCTTCTGCTCCATTTCTGCCACCCGCTAAGGTGGCATGTAGCAAAATTAGGGATGACCAAACAGGATAGTCCTGATAGCTTGAGGGGAAAGACAAGTGGAGTTTTCAAAAACCCTTTAGGCCTTTATAGCTCAGAATGGAATAAAAAGGGACAAGCCCAATTTCTTGTTCTTTGCAAGTGAGCTAGTGACAATCCAGTTGAGTCTTCCCCTGGCAGCTGGCCACACAGAGACAGAGGTTGGTCTTGTGATTAAAGCACTGGCCGGGAATTTGGGAGATTTGGTTTCAGTTCTTGGCTCTGCCACAGACTCTCTGTACGATCTTTGTACCGTGATCTGCCTTAGTTTCCCATTTGTGAATGGGGATACTAGTTCTTCCTCTGTCTGTCCGGTTAGATTGTGAACCCTTCGGGGCAGGGACTCTTCCTATGTATATGTACAGCGCCTAGCACCATGGGGCTCACCTGATCTTGGCTGGGGCCTCGGCACCACTGCAAGACAAATAAAGATGCAGTTTGTTTCCAAGATGTCTTTACTACCATTGCTCTCGTTCACTAGTTCTCGTGACTGTTTTCTCAAATGTCAAGGAGCCTCAGGAGTTCACACATGGACCTTTGGCTCTGGGTCCATCTTCACCACAGAGTTAACTAGCGTTACCATAGCGCAAGCGAGAACAGACACGCTACAAAACAAAACTTGAGTTGCTGGGTCCACACTAGCATTGCACTCCCTCAGGAGAGACTTCTGGGTGCCTGGCCTACAGTTCATTGCAGTGCCGTACGTGGAGCTGCTCTGTGAACTCTTTCCCCAGGGAACCTGTGAGAATGTCAGACTAGGGCCTGCAGTGTTGCTGAGCACAAGTCTTACTCATTGCAGCACCAGACTGCCAGGCTAGGTGGGGAACCTGCAGCTCATGCCCCACAAACAGAGGCTACACTCACTGACTGTGGAATCTGCTGAACTGCTGATTGGTCATCTCTAAGGATACAATTTGGTCACCGATTCCGTGACTTTAACAGACCCCGTGACTTCTGCTTCAGCTTCAAACCCTCCTCCCTCCCGCGCGACTGGGCCCCAGCTGTCTGTCCACAGGCCAGTGGGGCTCAGGCTGTTAGCCCCCCACGATGGGCCTCCAGCTGTCAGCTCCCCGCCCCATGCAGGGCTTCAGCTTCAGCCCCACACCGCAGGGCTTTGGCTTCCATGATTTATGGTTTATTGTCCACATCCTGCCCATGAATTTTAATAAAAATCCCAGTGCCAAAATCTTAACCTTGTCATCTTCTAGCATAAAGTTTCCCTTTCCTGCCACAGCCATGCTGTGAGCAACTAGTTGCTTAGGGTTACCATATTTAAAAAATAAAAAAAGAGGACACTCCACTGGCCCCTGGCCCGCCCCTTTCCCACCCCCGGCCCCGCCCCAACTCCGCCCCTTCCCCAAAGTCCCCGCCCAACTCCCCCTCCTCCCTTCCAGCCACGCGAAAAGGGCTGCACGAGCGCTACTGGCTTCATGGTTTGCCGGGCTTCCCACAGACCCTGCGCCCCCGGCCGGCGCTTCCCCAGCGTAGCTGGAGCCCGGGAGGGGAAGTGCTCGGCCGGGGGCACAGGGTCCAGAGGCATGGGGGCTGCCCGTAGCTGGTAGCGCTCGGGCAGCTCGGCTCTTACAGATCCCAGGAGTCAGGGAGCACAGCAGCCCCCGGCGCCCGCTCTAAGGTAAGCCAGGGAGTATTTTTCCCGGACATGTTCGGCTTTTTGGAAATTCCCCCTGGACGGGGGTTTGATTACCAAAAAGCCGGACATGTCCGGGAAAAACCGGACGTATGGTAACCCTATAGTTGCTAGGCCTGGAACTGGCCAGAGTCCTGAGACCAAGTGCTTGCCTGGGTCCCACTCCTTGTTCCTGCTCCCTCGTCCGGGCCCCAGTATTGACTCCAGTTTTAATCCTCGGCATGGCTTCTACCCCTGACCCCCTTGGCGTGACTCCAGACCCCAACCCCAACTCTACTTTGGGCTTTGGCCATTAGATCAGACCATCCACGTATGGGCCCTGACAGTTTGCTCAGACCCTCTCAGTCTCTTCCAGGACTTGTTGCTGAACCTCTGAACTGAGTATGGACATTGCTGCCACACCAATGCCCCAGGGGCCTAGGAGTCTGTGGGGACAGATTGCTGTCCTCCAGGCTGAGAACCAGATGCTGAGGGATCAAGTATGGTATCTGCAAACAGAAAATTGCTCCCTGCGGGAACAAGTTGCAGCCCTCAGAGCAGTTGCAGGTATCCCCTTGTCTCCCTTACGACACCAGCCCCAGAGTTCCATTACCAGAGAGATATGATGGCATCCACAGCAAGGTTTGCACGTCTATTACCCAGTGTAGCCTCTTATTTATGCTCCAGCCCCAGGAATACACCACAGACCAGATGCTTGCTTGCCGAGGAGGCCCTAGCATGGGCCCGTGACGGGATCCCCAGGGTGCAGCCTGGGACTGTGGGACCGCTGTGCCCCCTGAACTCTTTCCAGCCTGGGCTGTCTCTCACAACACTTTGCTAGTGACAAGCAGCAAACCCCCTCCAGGCGCTGTGATCACTCAGCACAACAACATGTGGAGCCCCACACCCAGCTAGATTGCATGAATGCTCCCAGAGCCATTCATGAATCACACAGAGAAAGGCATCAGCTGAATCCCCCCAGCTTCCAGCACTGTACCCCAGGAATATACCGCCTTGCTCTGCTCAAGACAAGCAGTGCAAATTTATTAATTGGTTCATCAATGGAAAGTGGATATACAGCAGCCTTTGTAAACCTGAGCAAGCACCCTTACCAAACACTTCAGACAAACTCTCTAGTAAAGATAAACAGTTAAACAAATTTATTGGCTACAAAAGATAGATTTTAAGTGATTATAAGTGATAGGCAAAAAGTCAGAGTTAGTTACCAAAATAAAATAAAATATAAGCACGCAGTCTAAACTCTCAACTCTATTAGACTGGGTAACATCTAAATTAAGCAGTTTTTCTCACCCCACTGGATACTGCAGGTCACAATATACAGGTTTCACCCTTGAAACCTGGCCCAATCTTGTCTGTTGGAGTCTTCAGTCTTCTGAGTATCCTTGTTCCTTGCAGCATAGGTGGGTGGAGGAGAAAAGGCGAAGCATGGGGACCCTGTGTTCTGTTTTCTACCCTTAGTGCATGTGCTTGGAGAACACAAGTCCAGGCATGTCTGGTGGGCACTGCTGTCACAAGGTAAAGCTATACCCCGGCGTGGCTCCTGTGAGTGAGTCATTGAATTGTAGATCCTCTGCTAGACAATGGCTGGTGGTGTCTGTTCAGCACCCACCCAGGTGTTGGTTGCCTCCCCTGTCATTGTCTCTGGAGAGCTAGTATCTGGGCGCTTCCCAAACCCACAGCATATTTTAGTGACAACAATACAACACAATTATCATAACTTTATATGCATTAATGAGATACATATTTAAATAGAAAAATGACTTTCAGCAGATCATAACCTTTCCCCTGATACCGCACATGGCCTGCTTTATATGCAATATCACAATTATATATAAATAAGGAATATAGGGGTTATAGGACGCTCCCCCAAGGTATAGAATGTCACAGGGCCTCTCCCCTTTTAGAGCAGGACCACCCAGTGCTGATTGTGACGGGTTCCCCCCAGTGTGCCACTTGGAACTGGGGTACCACTGAGCCCGCCTGACCCACCAGCCTGGGCTCCCTCTCACACTGTGGTGCTGTGATAAGTTGCCAAGCTCTCCAAGCTTGCTTTCACCAGCACACACCCAGGGACACACCCAGCTGCAGCTTCACACACACATGCTGAGATCAGCTCTGCCTGGGAAGCCTCAGCTAAGGCACCTCCCAGTTGCTAAGGCTCGCACCCCCCTCTGGAATGTAAACCCAAAATTGTACCGTCTTGGCTGCACAGGGAACTGTACAGTGTACGCTCATAAAAGTCGACCCCTCCCTCAATGTGGAGAGAGAGATGCAACCACAGGCGTCGACTTTTCAATGTGCCGGGGGGTACTTGTCCCCTGGCTCTGCCCCAGGCCCTGCCCCCACTCCACCCCTTCCCCCAAGGCTCCACCCCCACCCCACCCCACCTCTTCCCACCCCCCCACTCCAACCCCACTTCTTTCTGCCCCATTCCACCCCCCTCCCCAAGCACGCCGAGTCCTCACTCCTCTCCCTCCCCTTCAGAGCCTCTCACATGCTGCGACACAGGTGGTCACGACAGGTGGGAGGCGCGGGGAGGGAGGGGGATATGCTGATCGGCAGGGCCTGCTGGTGGGCAGGAGGTGCTGGGGGGGTGGAGGGGAGTTGACGGGGGGCTGTGGGTGGGTGCTCAGCACCCACCATTTTTTCCCCAGCCCCAGAGCACCCACAGAGTTGGTGCCTATGTATGCAACAGCTTTCTGTCCCAAGTTATAATTTCTACACACTGGTTTTAGCTAAAACAAAAACAGATTAATTAACTACAAATGATAGATTTTAAGTGATTATAAGTGATAGCAAACAGACCAAAGTAGATTACCTTAGTAAATGAACAAAATCGCAAACTGAGCTTAACACACATAACACACTAGGTAGGATATGAATTAGCGAAGTCTCACCCTGAGTGCTAAACAGGCTGTCAGATTCTTAAGGCACAAGCTATATTGGCTTTCCCAGGTTTTCATACACAGGGTAAAAATCCTTCTAGCCTGAGACCATCACTTCCCACAGTTCAGTCCTTACCCCTCACATGTTTCCAGGTGTGTTGTTATAGGGAGAGTGAGGTACCAGCATGATGTCATTGTCCCCCTTTTATATTTTCTTCCCACTCGCTGGAAAGCTCTTTTGCTGTGACCTGGATCAAACAGTTCCCATTGTGTAGTGCTATCTCTGAGAGGTTTCTATTGTACACAGTTCCTGGGATAATCTTTATGCTTGTGTGCCTTTCCTCAATAAGCCATTAACATTGTTTGGCCTTTTTACGGTTGTACTTGAAAGTCTGCTTGTGGGTGTTTTCAACCTCACAATCAGTTTCAGTAACACCTACGTAGCCAAACTTCATAACTTTCCATACGACGATAACACGTACAATCCAATGAGATATTACGGTCTAGCAGTTCAAAACTTTTAGAATGATACCTCACAAGGCAGACTTTGTACAAAACATGTCCTAATTACATGATAGTGCTGAACATTGGGGTGCCAGGGTGTCACACTGACCACCTGGGATTCTTTCCTGCAAGGGTTTACTCCCATTTGTGACAACTCACATAAAGCTCACACAATGGAGACTGCCTTATATGATCTCCAGCTAACCCTGGGTCAACCCCTTCCTATGTCACCCAGTTTAGATGTTTGGCCATAGACACCTCCTGGAATGATGTCACACTTGTCCATCAGTCGCTGCAATGAATTAGAGGACAAGCTGACACAGGTAGGCCCTCCTGCCAAGTTAGAGGCTTTTATGGAGTTGTGTATCAGGATAGACGCTACGCTTCATGAATG